CTCCCCTCATGCTGCAGATGATGTGGCCGATCAGTCTCTCATATCATAATCAGACAACTGAAGCAAATGCCTTGCTTGAGATATCCTTCCTTCCCCCTTGCTTCTCGTTCCCTCTCTCACTCTCTCTTTCTCGCTCCCTCTGTCTCTCTTTCCCTCTCTCGCTCGCTCCCTATCTTAATTATCCCTCTTGCGGGATCACTACACTCAAAATTAGGACGAAGATATACCCGTTAAAAGCGAAGTAATCCTCGAATGACCAGGTACCGATTCATTAAAAAAAAAAAAAAAAAAAAAAAAAAAAGCGGGGGGAAGGAAAAGGGAGAAAAGGGGAAGGCTATGGAATGGATCAGTCCAAAGCAGTCTTCGAACAAAACCACCAAGCAAACCAATAATAAGCAACCAAGGTTTGCTTCCACATCACCCTGTTCTAGTCCTAGAGAATTCTTCACCTTTAAATCTAAAACTAGGCAAACCAGATCTCCATTCAAGCTACTCATCTCCCCACTCCTTCACTCTCTCTTCCCCTCTTCCCTCCTCTCTTTGTTAAATCATCCCTCTCTCACTATTACTACATTTAATTATGACAATGATACATACCCACTTTAGTCTTTCAAAGGAGGCATACTCTCTAAGTAATTGAGGAACTCAGTTTCTGCCCTTAAACGATAGGACTGGAAAGGGGAAAAGGTGGGCGGCATGGAGACAGATCAACTTCAAAACAAGCCTCGAAACCCACCCACCAACAAATTAAGTTTTCACAAACAAGGATCTGCTTTCGCATCATCCGAAAGCATCAAGCTCCTCTCGCCCCCCCCTTGTTTCTCATTTTCCTCTCTCTTCCCCTCTCCTCCCTTCTCTCTCTCTCTTAATTATCCCTCTTGTGGTATCATTGCATTTTCAAACAGGATAAGGGTATACACCCGCTTTAGTCGACGGGAATGAAGCTTACTCTCTCAAGTATTTCATGGATGACCAGGAACGTTTTCCGATTTATTACTAAAGGGAAACTTTTTTTTCGCCCTCAAACGATACAAAAAGAGGAAGGTCCTCGCACGCAACAACCAACAAATTAGGGTTTGCTTTCCTCATCACCCTATTACCCAGAAAGGACATCGCCTTTGCTACCCCGCAATGTAGTGGACGCTAGCAAAGAAGGAAGTATCTCTTTAATAACCATCATTTCGACCAAAAAAAAAAAAAAAACTCAGATAAAAAAAAAAAAAAAGGAAAAAAGAAAGAAAAAACTATCGAACATCATCCGAAACAAAGATCTTTTCGACCGCCGAGGAAAGAAGAAAGGGAGAGATGGAAAAGAGGGAGAAGGGGAGGAAGGGAGAAGAAAAGGAGTAAGGAAGTTGGACGCACCAAACCCACTCTTCGAAACCCTGCAACAACGAACTTTCAAAACAACACAAAAACTATAAAACACATGACACAATCTTCATATTATCGTAGATTCACAAGTGTCACTAGGACAACTTATCTTTTGGAGAACAGGACTGGAGGCAGAATCATTTAAACGCAAAACTTTCCAATAGCAACTTAACAAAAAAAAAAAAAAAGGAGGGAGGGAAAACTATTTGTAATGGTATTTCTTAAATCCAATTATTTGTTGTCAACAAATGGACGCTTTCACAAGGGCATTCGTGCAATCAAGGGGGCCAGATATCTTTGTAGGTACCACTGCTCGCGTATTTTACAACTCCTCTGCGACAGACTATTACCCTGCTCCAATTCTGAAAGATGTCTCAGAATCTAGAACAACTCTAGATGAGATTGTGTACGAAGTAAGGAGAGAGGACAATTCAGAAACATTCCCAGCTGTTCTTAAAAAAATCAAGGTGATTCTCCCAGGCGAAGAATCCGGAAGGGGTAAAAAATCTTTGACCAACTCGGATGACGAACAAATTTCGGAAATCGATCTCGAGATCTCTTTGAGGAAAATCGATCTCAAACGACGAAAGAAACCCGGTTATATGAGACCAAGGCACTCTAGAGGTCACTCGGGCTCGGGGAGTGATGACATTGATATAAAGAATTTTCAATTTGGGACTAGAAGATGAAGCAAGAAGTAATGTACTATTTCAAAGGATCATCCAGGAGATCACACTCAAATGTACTGCAACTCCGGAAGAGGTAAAATATGATAAATATCTTCACCAAATTTATCAGGCTCCTCCATGGAGGAGGCATATTGATTTAATTATAAGGGTCAAGATGGTTCACATAGCTTATAGCCAATATGAAACAGGCAAGGATGAGGCGAAGGTCTTTGCCAATGACATTAATCTTGTGCCAAGACGCTTGTGTGACTCCTTGATTCCTCAAAGAGTCAAAGATTGGTTGCAGAAATCCCTGTTATACACTTCAATCGAGGTCCTTTCAAATATTCTCAAGGCCTGGAGCGACAGAGATTACAAGGCAAGAAGAAGGTACAAACCTTATCTGTACACCTTAAGGGGCATACCATCGAGCCCCCTAATGTTTTCTGGTTGGTGTTGCATCTTATCACATTTTTCCTTACAGGGCGGAATTATGAGAAGGGGTTTCTTGTAGGGCGCCTATCATGCCCGCCGCTTTTTTTCGATTGAAACCAAAAAAAGACTTCACCAGAGTAAGTAACTTGAATTTCAAACCAAACTAATTTTTTTGTATAGACAACCCGCCGACCACCAGCACAAGAAGGACAGGAACAACTCCAACCCAAGGCAATAGTACAAGCATCAAGATAACCGAGGGGATGAAGGAAGGAGGTCATACAATGGCTAGACAAGTGCCTTCTATAAAGCAATTGCTCGCATTACTTAATCACTCACCATCTATCGAGTTGCCATGCAATTGTTTTCAACTGCTGAAGAATGACTCAACAGGCCAGAAGACCTCAAGGCAGCATCATTATCTGATCATGTCCATCAATGGAAGGAACTGTTGGAAGGATCCAATATAAAGCATTCAAGAAATGTTCTTAACTGGATTGAGAATGGAGTCTGTCTGAAATTTGAGGGAACTAGCCACAATGATCCAACAAAGATTATGAAAGTTTGGAGGATGGTTAAAACTTGAAAGACTAATGACTGTCCAAAAATTCGAGGATGCTTTGAAAGAAAAGGAACCCCTCAAATCTGTTTTCCCACTTATGACTTGTCACAGGAGGACCAACAATTTGCTGAGGGTCATTCACGAAACCTCCTCACCAATCGTCATTAACCCCATCTTTGTAATTGAAAGCTCCCCAAATAAGAGGTTCATCATGGATCTAAGATTTGCTCATATTTTTATCTCTTTTTCAAAATTCCATTATGAATCACTCTAAAATGTTGCGGCAAACTGTTCATCCTATCTTGTGCCCGATTTTGTTACAACCTATGATGTAAAGAATTGTTACTACCATATTTTAGTCAACCAAGCATCTAGAGACTACCTTGCATTCCAATGGAAGAACAAGTATTTTCACTTCACTACTCTCTTTTTGGAATTTGCTCAGCCTGTTGGATCTTGACTACGGTTATGCAAGAAGTAATGACATTACTGAGATTAAAATATACCCGCATTTTTTTTTACATTGACGACTTCTTAATCGTGCAAAGAATGAATCTTTGCAGTTTGTGGTCATCTTTCATCTACGCTTGTCTCCTTCACGGAATGAGTTTTTTTCTTAGTCTGAACTAATGTTATTTTCGTCCCTCTCTATGTGTGAAGTTTCTCCCTCGCACTGCAAGCTGACTGCAATACCTGAAGAAAAAACCTTAAGAATTCGTAACACCATTCATTGAATGCTATCAAGAACCACGATAACAAGCAGGGAGATCTCTTCCGTTGTTCGAAAATTAGCAACACTTACCACTGGTTTTCAACCAACACTCACATTTTGTTTCCATCTTCATCAAGCCATCAACCCCAACGTATGGGATGATCTCTCGCCCCTTTCAGAAGGAGTCAGAAGTGACCTAGACTGATGGATGTCTAACATCCTCAGACTCAAGGGAAGGAGTTGGTCGATCAAGAAGATCGAATTAACAATCCAAACCGGTACTTCAGATCATGCTATTGAGGTCATTATCCACCTCAATAAAGGAAAGAAAGAAAAATTAAGCATCCCCCGTCTAAACGAATGGTTGGAAGCATCCAACACACATAGAGAATTATTTGGAGTGTTGTACACGTTCTTTTTCGTTCATTGTCGTTTTTTTCTTCCCTCCAACAACGTCGTAGTCAAGGTGGTAGGAGACAATGCAGAGGTAGTCACCTTGCTCAACAATTGAAAATCATTTGGCGTCAGGATGAATTCACTCCTTAGAAGAATAACAACAATCATTTTGGATACCGAAGGGCAAATCAAACCTATCTGGGTACCTCATTCGCAGAACTCAAAAGCAGATTTACTTTTAAAATGGAAGGACCTCACAAATTGGGGTCTCACCTGCTATCTGGTCTCTCAAATTTTCAAGAAATTCGGAGCCCTCGACGGACCTTTTGCATCACAAACTCATCATGTCTCTCATTGCTTCGTCTCTAAAATTTGGTGCAATAAGTGTTGTTACCCTATACGGGGACGGCCCGTCCTTACTCCCGTACGAGCGTACGTACGGGCCCTCAGTTCCCGTACGACCCGTACGTATGGACTTTTGGCCCTCCGTAAGGGGCCTTCCTGAGGGGTGTTGAGGGGGTGGATGGGCTGGGGGGGGGGGGTCGGATGTCGGGGGTAGCCCTCCATTAAAAAAAAATAAAATAAAAATTCTTTTGTCCCAGGTGTATGAAAAAAAATAAAAGATTGATTGATTGATTAATTGTTTGATTTCTACGTAGCACCGTGTTCATGTGCGGAGGCGAACATGAACATGTTCGCCCAAATGCGAACAAGCGCCCAAAAACCTCCGAACGCCAACATAAAAAATATTTATAAAAAAAAATAAGTTCTCAAAAAAATCTAAAAACCATATATGTTATGTAGAATACCAATACAAGCAACTTTTGCCTTGGAGTCATGTTCAAATTTATAGCCAATCATGAGTTTAAAATCAAAAACCGAATTTGTTTTTATTTTTTTTTACGAAAAAAAAATTATGTTCGCCCGAACATGTTCGCGAGCTGTTCGCACGAAAGCGCGAACACGTTCGTGCAAACATGAAGGGGCGTGAACACGTTTGTCGTGCTATGGAGGTTGATTTATTTATTTATTGATTAATTGATTGATTGTTTGATTCATTGGTTGATTGATCGATTGATTGATTGGATCTTGAACGAAATGATCCATCGAGATCGACGGATTGATTGATTGATTGGTTGGTTGGTTGTAAGGGGCGGAGGATGACGGAGGAGGCGGCGGGTGGTGGCGGAGGCGGCGGGCGGAGGCGGTGGGCGGAGACGGGCGTGGGCGGGCGGAGGAGGATGAAGAAGAATGAAGAAAAAGACGAAGAAGAAGAATGAAGAAGGAGAAGACGAAGAAGAATGAAGAAGAAGAAGGCAAAGAAGAAGAATGAAGAATAAGAAGGCGAAGGAGAAGAAGAAGAAGAAGAAGAAGAAGAAGAAGAAGAAAAAGAAGAAAAAGAAGAAGAAGAAGAGGAAGAAGAAGAAGAGGACGACGACGAAGAGGAAGTAGAGGACGATGAAGAAGAAGAGGACGACCAAGAAGAAGAGAACGACGAAGAAGAGGATGGCGAAGAAGAGGACGGCGAAGAAGAGGACGACGCAGAAGAGCATGACGAAGAAGAGGACGAAAAAGAACAGAAGGAAGAAGAAGCGGAGGAAGAAAAAGAGGACCGAGAAGAAGAGGACGAAGAAGAGGACGAAGAAGAGGACGAAGAAGAGGACAAAGTAGAAGAAAACAAAGAAAAAGAGGACGAAGAAGAAGAGGACGAAGAAGAAAAGGGCGAAGAAGAAGAGGACGACGAAGAAGAGGACGACGAAGAAGAGGATGACAGAGAAGTACAAGACGACGAAGAAGAAAAGGACGACGAAGAAGAAGAAGTCGACGACGAAGAAGAAGTAGAGGACGGCGAAGAAGAAGAAGTAGAGGACGACGACGACGAAGAAGAAGAAGAAGAAGAAGAAGAAGAAGAAGAAGAAGAAGAAGAAGAAGAAGAAGAAGAAAAAGAAAAAGAAGATGAAGAAGAAGAAGAAAAGATACTGGAGGAGAAGATAGAGGAGGAGAAGATGGAGGTGGACTACAAGGACGACAACGATTCGGAGAAGAAGTAAGAGATGAAGTAGAACAGATTTGAGAAGAAGAAGAAGAAGAAGTAGAAGAAGAAGAAAACGATGAAGAAGAACAGGAGGACGACCCGAAGGAGGGGGTGCACAAGGTAGAGGAGGAGGAGGAAGAGGAGGGGTTGTGGTGCACTTACCTCGAGATGGCGGTGGAGATGGTAGGGCTGGAATGCCGCATCCTCTCGAGCGCACACACACGCTCGCCGTCACGAGGGCGGCACTATCAGGCAGGCGGGGCCGGGGCGGGGGCGGCGGTGGGCGCGGGAGGGCGATACGGTGGTACCCCCCCCTGCAGTGATTTGAGTTTGAAATTTGAATCTTGCCCGATCTGGGTCGTCAATCGGATTGATAGGACGGCCTAGGTCGGGCCTTTTTTATTTCATTTTTTTCAGGCCCTACTGGCCTCGGACTATGGGGACCGAAGTCCAGCAGGACCCCCACACTTAAGCACTGCCCTCCCACGCCACCCTAAGCCCCTAAGAGACCTGGCCCCTATTTTCCGTCGGGGCCGGACCTCTGTCGGACACCGGACCACTGACCCGGTAGTCCGGTCGGAAGTCCGCGACGTCCCGGGGTGGCCTAGACGTCCGGGCCAGTAACCTAGTGACAATGTATATTACCATGTTCTAGGGGTAGATTCATTCGGTTTTGCTGTTTTTTTTTTTTTTTTTTCGGTTACAATTTTTTTTCTTAATGTTTTTAAAAAAATACTAAGGGGCCCCTCGAGACCCCCCCTAGTGGGCCCCTCCCATCCCTGAGGTCGCCCCCCCCCCCCCTCCCCCTCACACCGGGCCCTGCCACGTTCGAACGGAGACCATCTGTACGCCTGTACGACCGTCCGTCCGTCCGTACTCACGGGCCGTACGGATGCCCCCCTCACGAGTATGACAGCCATAGCCATATCGGATGAAGGACGAGAAAGTCTTCCAAGAACCTTCAGTAAGCATTTCCTCTCAAATCCAACCCCGACGGATGCCCCCCTCACGAACTTCACCAACTCGAAAACTATGGCTGCTACTCAAGCCTTCCAAACCAGCCCGCTTAAACCAAGTTCGCAGACATCTCTTGAAGGCATTCACAATTAAGGCCTCTCGAGACCGTCGGCCACAAAAGATGGAGCCAGTTTGAAGACTTTCACCGAAACGACAGTAACTTTCGCTCATCTCCTGGTACAATTTCAAGAAGGTATCACTTCGCCTGAGGGTTTCTCGAGGTTTATCACCACCGACTTTCCTCTCCGCTCCGTTTTCGTGTAGCTGTAATGCCCAACCGCACACCCAGTGGGCCAGTGGGATGAGGGCCCGGAAGTGCGAAAAGGGGTGTGCCAAGGATTTTAGGATAGTGGGGGTGGAGTTCTAGGTCGGAACTGAAATCTCTTGTGGCAAGTCTCAGGGATAGTTGCGTGATATAGCAAGCGCAGGTCGCGTCTGACTTTTATGTCTTGGGGGATGTCATCACCATCCCCACGAATTTCGTTGTCAGGGCCACGCTCGGATTTGATGAACCGGCGGAATGCTATGCGTGTTGCGTTGCCTAATTAACCGCTGGCATCGCTCGCGACAAGCCTCGGGGTCCGACGAAGCAAGCCTCAGGCGTAGGCTGTGTGCTCGCTGCTCGGCCTCAGTCCGGGTTCGTCGAACGAACCCCGCGGCTCAGTACTCGCTGTCCTGCTGGCACTCAGAGCATGGGGTTCGAGGCCAGTAAGGGGCGAGCGCGTGCCACGGGGCCGCTGTCAGGCAGTGGAAGGGCAACACGAGGCGATAGGGAGGGAAGTCAGTCTCAATGATGATAACGCCGGGCTCGGGGATGACGTGGCTTGCGTGTGAGCTGGGGAATTGGGAGGGAAAAGGGATTGCGCTTAAGGCCCGTTCAATGTCCCACTCACAAACATATTTGTTTCCAGTTCGAAAGGGGAATTTCGGAAGATTGTGTCTGGGTCGTGCGAGAAGACAGACGTTTTTTCACTCCCAGTATTCTCAGAATCGTCGATGTCTCAGGCTTTCCCGATCCATGACATGGAAGGGAGTCCCATCATCCATGCTGTCGAAAATTTGTAAGTTTAGACATGGATTCGATCGTGGGTCTTGCAGACACGCGTGTAGGCGACGCTCTTTTTGGTCGAGCTTACACGTATGTGCACGAGGCCATGTTCGCAATCAGTTGGATTGGATCGACTGACTATCCTTTGGGTGATCATTAACAGAAAAATTCCCACGAGGAATGAAAGTTGAAAAAACATTCCATTCAAAAAAAATCCTTCATACTGTGTCACTCACTGTCTGGTCATACCAAACCTCGTTGTCTTCATCTGCCGGCTCTGTGCCGCTCACTATCGGGTCATACCAAACCCCGTTGTCTTCATCTGGCTGTACGGTACCTGCAAAACAGATGTCAAGTCAAGCCTAAAAAAAAAAAGACAAGAAAAAAGGATCTCTCCTAAAGACCCTTGTCGACACCCCTTCCTCACTCACTCTCAGAGTTTTACCTTTCGGCCTTCCGAGAGTGCCCCCGCTCGCCCTGGTGGGCTCCTCCGCTGACCCAACCCGGCAAGCAGAACAAAGTCAGTCCTGATTCCCAGTCATGGCGGTCCGACCACCCTCTGAGCCCTTGCTCAGAACAGCTCATGGGGAGCCGCACACCCCTTCATGAAGCCCTCACTCCGATCAGTGCAGGCCCATGGCGCGGAAACTCTTTAGTCGACTTCAGAACCTCCGTCTACTCGCTCGACTTCTTTCTAACGCCCGGCTCTTGCTACTGTGCGGGGAGCCAGCCAACACCCAACCAGACACTGGTGGTGAGTCAGAGCGAGTCCACAATTAAGCTTTGCAACAGTGGGCTAGGAGGCCATAATGACCCTGTTGCCAGCTGGGCTGTGGATACCTGGCTTGGCCCGTTGCCAAGGGAATGCCCCTGGAGACACTGCTCCCGAGACACACCCCGATGAGAGTGACAGTAGGAGTCCACCACCTTGATCAGCCAAATGTCGGATCTAGACTGGGAGAGGCTCAGGATGCCTCCTTCCTTTCCAGCAGGCGGACCAGATCACCATACGATAACCTGAGGAATGGCTAGCCACCATGGGGTCCAGAGTTATCTGCCACTATGGCTCAGACACCCCGCTGACCCAGCCAACCTCTGGACCTTGTGAGAACCTGCTTCAGGGAATCATCTCTTGCTCAAGAGGCGCAGTCGAAAACTTACCGCCTCTTCATGAAGGACGCAAGTGCTGACACCGCAGGGGACGCCACTGTGGATAGACTCTCACCGGGGAACCGTTGCGAGAGCCCGACGACTGCAGTGGGAACACTCCTTCCAGCATGAAGAATGCAGCGAGCCTCAATCCGCTGCGATGCTAAGTGATCTTTGCCCAATCACATGATTGGACAGATCACTCTGTCGATTATGACACATGACTTATTACCTATCCCTTTAGAGCTTGGTAGCATTTAGCCGTGAAGGCCCGTCTGGAGAGGAACCCCATCTCGACGATGCCGAGTCTCTTGCCAAGGGAACACTTCACTTGGCTAAACGTCACCCTCCTTCAGAGATAGCTAATCAATTTGTGCCAGATGATGCTAGGCAATCCTCCTTACGCAATCGTACTAGAAGGTTGCCCCATCAACTGAGCGCTGACTTATGAGAGGAAGAAAACAGATTTTACTTTATCCCACAGCCATTCATTTCATAAATGTCATTCAGACTAAATAAATACAATAAGAGGCAAGAACTGAAATCCCATAAACTGGCTCCCAAGCCCCCAGGCATGTCCCAAGACTGACACATGACAAGCCAGATACAGTGCAATGAACTGAAATTTTAAAAGTTTAACTCACAATCATACAAAACTGGGGCCAATCTAGGTCCGACAGACACATAAGGACAAAGAGAAAGGGGTTTGGTATGTCCACCCCTTATGAGCCAGCCTTCGGTCAAGATGACCTGGATGATCCTGGATGCGATGATTGGTCCCATAGCCGCCCGTGGCTGAGATATCGATGAGGACTGTGCTGTACTGATGGGCAGTATGGATGAGATGGACTGATCCAATGATGATGAGATGTGCAGGCCAGGATTGAGACTTGGACTGCTAGACCAGACCTAGCGATGGGGTCAGGTCTAAGATTGAGGATCGATCATGATGATGCATGAGGCTAAACCTAATGGAAACGGGATTGTTAGTATGATTGGACTGCATGAGCGGTCATGATACTTGCATGCGGTGATTGCACCAAGCAAGCCTGATAAGGCTAATTCCTTCTTGATTTTTATGGTGGCTTGGACAAGTTGTCCATGCCTTATTGAATGAGCACTCAAGCCCAAGTATGAGGCACAAGCGCAAGTATGAGGCACAAGCGATGGTTGGGCGGCGCAGCCTGACGAGCGACGGACGGAGTTGGTGCACTAGGCAACGGCGGTGGCGCAGGGCGAGGCGCCTGTGGCAGGACGGTGAGCTGGCGAGGAGATGGTTGAGTAGAGGAAGAAGGGTGGTATGGTGAAGGGTATGATCGAGAGGGCGGATCGAAACGTGGAGGCGGAGAGCCACAGCGCTGCTCGTATTTATACGCATAGTACATCATAGATCTAGGCGACGGCGTGCGCTCGCGCCGGTCCTCTGAGCGATGGCGCAAGCGCATTCCTCCCCATCTCACCTCCTCCTCCTCCTCTTCGGAACTCTCCCCTTCGTACGTCAGATCGATCAGTCGATCTGGTGCCTTCCCCTGTCGACCTCCTCTCCCACGTCCAGCGCCCGAGCCTCGCGTCTTTGGCGCCATGGCAAAAACTGATTAGCTGCGCGATGATAAGCGCTGCGCGACGGTTATCGCGCAGCGCGACGGTAAGCACTAGTGCGATAAGAACGCAAGCAAGTCGAGAACGATGAAGGCAGCGGTAATAGCAAGATCGTAATAGCGCCGCACACTCGACGATATGAGTTTGAGTGCGAATGGCGAGAATGAGTAAGCTATTAGGCCTTTATAATGGCCTGAACCTGGCGAGGACGCCAGGAATGGGGTTTGGTATGGTTGTCGGAAGATGATGCGGCGCAGCAGCGAAAATTGACTCGCCACGGTCAACTCCCACGCTGCGTCAAAATTCCATGCGCAGTCATGGTCAAACTGGACCCTAGCGCTTCGTTTAGACTTCCCCTGGGCCGAAACCGAGGGAAAGACGACGCGATAGTACGGTCTCCTGGAGACCTGATCTTCCTCATTGGACTGCACCGGCGCAACCGCAATGGGCCAATTAGTGGGGTCCGGTCCAAACGGCACTTGAAACGGACCAAGGGCGACGGTCACGTCGACAGTAGCAGTTCCGACGATGGACATGAACGGGGGGCCGGGACGTGACACACTGAGCAAGGCGGAGAGGACGGCGGTGGCGGCGGTCGTGAACGCCATCCTCTTCCGGTGTCAGTTGCAGAGGGCCAAGGGGAGGATGAGAGCGGCCATTCGCACACGGCGGAAGAGGACGCTGCAATCCACGAATGTGGAGGAAGAGGACAGTGCTACCATTTGCGACGTCGTGCTGCTGGTGTGCTACTCCATGGGGTGTGGATGTTTTCCAGAGCGACGCCGAGGTGGTGGATGAAGCGACGAACAGGCGGGACGTGGGAGGATCTGCGGCAATGCGATGACGCGACAGCGGACGACTTCAAGGACAAGCTGCGCATGTCGCCACGTGTGTTCCGAGAAATCACAGAAGCTTTGTCTCCCTTCCTTGAACGGCGTGTCACTTTCTATAGGGAGCCCTGCCAGCCTGACCACATTGTCGCGTACGCTTTGTACAGGTGGGCGTCGGGGGAGACGTACGAAAGCGGGACATGCAGCTTCGGCATTGGCAGATCTTCCGGGTTGGTGGCTATGCAGGATGTAACTGTGGCGTTGCTGAGTCCGTACCCCGACAAGATATCCTGGCCGACGGGTCTGTAGAAAGTGGTCGTGTTGCGTGCTTTCGCTGACAAGGGTTTCCCTAACTGCCACCGGTGCATCGACTGCACCCACATCTTCATCGACATGTCAGCGAATTGCCCCGAGGAGGACTACTACGATAGAAAACGCCGTTTCTCCGTCCAGGCGCCAATCGTCGTGGATTTGAACTTGCGCGAGCTGGATGTCTTCGTCGGTTATCCGAGAAGATACGACGATGTGAGGATCGTCCACCTGTCCAGTTTATGGGCGCACGCGGAGGCAGGGGAGCTTTTCACTGGGCCACCTGTCATGCTGCCTTTCGGTGTGCGGACGAACGACTGTCTGCTGGGGGACAACGGTTATCCGCCCTCCAAATGGGTAGTCGTCCCCTATGGCGGTCTCTTACAAACCCCGTCGGAGTTGCGCTTCGATAACAAGCAGAAGACGGCGAGGGGACCAGTTGAGAGGGTTTTCGGCAGACTGAAGGGGATGTGGAGGTTGTTCCTTCGCTCCCACAATACGAACATGGAGACGTTGCCACAACAATTCATCCTCGTCTGCATTCTGCACAATGTACTCATCGACGCGGGCATCCCCTTCGACGACAATCTATTGTGGGAGGTCAGGCCGGACGGTGTGCGTCGCAGGGTGGATCTTGGGATGGAGCGTCCCTTGAGGCCGATGTGTATGGAGTCGTCGACCGGGGATGCGCTCATTCTACGAGACGCACTGGCGGAGCAATTGGGTGCGCAGTGAACACGGTCAGGCATGCGGAGCGGGCGGCTGCGATGACGTGGCAGTGGCGAGAAATCATGGCGGGCGACGCGGGGAGCATGCGAGAGCTCGGGCCACACGACGTGTGAGGCGTATTGTCCTGGAAGGGGTGGTCGTGTGAGTTGGGGTCGCCGTGTGTGCGGGGCCTTTTTCTGGAATGAAGAGTTGAAGCAGTGGTGGTTGTTTCGATGTGGGTTGCCGTGCACGCGGCGGCGTGTATTGGCAGTTTGTTTCCGTTTTGTTATGCAGTGTGCGCCGTTGAGGAGGGTGTAGGAGCGTGGGGTTGATGGGGATGCCCCAGTGGAACGCGTAATCGGTGGGGGCGATGTCGTGCGCATTCACGTGCCGATCGCAGTTGTCTTGTAGTGTGTTGTCACCGAGGGTGACGTTTGTGGGTTACGTAGTCGCGCCTTCGCCGTGTGTGTTCTGTTTTCCGGAGTTTTGGATTGGATTTGCCTTGAAGGCCTTTTTTTTGGTGCAAAGTGTGTCGGCATCCAGTGATTGTTTTTATTTTTACGAGACACAAGAATGTGGTTTTTTACTTGACGTGTATATTATGAATGTTGTTGTTAACGTCTTCTTCTTTGTCGACGAATGAAAAATACACAATTGCATGACGTTGTTGTGTGTTATTTGTACTGCCACCTTTGCTTCCAACATGTGCAATATCGTGTTTGAACATCCATCGCTTTGTCATCAACCATCAGTTGAAGGCTTCAAGCAAGCAACCCGGATCCTGTTACGTCCCCCTTACCATAACTTTACTAAAGGGAAATGAGAGCGGAACAAAACACGAATTAACAACAAGATGTAACGTCAACAATATCAATCACCACAAATACATGTTCGCTTCCACAGTTGCGAACATCGATTCGTCATGTTTGAAATAAAAAAAGACGATTTAAAGAACAGGAAAGGTTCACGCAAAACCTCAACGAGAACCGATCGACGACGGTGACTATCATCGTCAAGGAAACGTCGACCAGCATGACCACCGGCATCGTCCCCACCCCCAGCCCCCTCTCTAACGTACAGCCTCAATATGTCTGACACAAAACCCAACGAAGCACCCCCCCCCCCCCCCCCCCCGGCGCACTCCTTTCCCACCAAGCTCCACGACATATGTGCACTCCGGCACGACGATTGACGAGCGGGCTTCAACCAAACGACGGCAGAGCAACACCTCGTGCGAGAAAACAATAAGCGCGACACATCAGTTGGATGCACGACGCCCCCGGGACCACCTCCCGCCACCCACCCCCTCCCCCGCGTCCCCCATTCGACGACACCATCTCTATTGGAAATGCGAGAAACATATAGTCCCACCCTGCGATGGCGACGTCGAGGAAGACACTGCACCGCGAACGTTTCATCACTCCCCCTCGCCCCCTTCGTCGTCACCTTCGTTGTCGTCTTCGTCTTCCGGGGGACATGTGCCCAACCAATCGAGCTTCTTTGCCTCCATGGGGGAAGACAACGTGGCGTCATGTGAGAACTTCACGCCGATCGACGCCCAGTCGGGTATGTACAACGGAGGCGGTACCAATGTCATAGGGGGTTTCACGAACTTGTCCGTGATGGTGGTCGCGGCTTGCATGATGTGCCCACGCACGTCGAATGAGCCATGCATGGATGCGATGAGCGTGGGTTTTGTCGTGAGTTGGACGAATACCCACGCATCGTAATGTGAGCGATGATCGTCCCCGCTCATCCGCATGAGCCACATGGTCGCCGCGAGCATGATCCTCATCGCTTCGGCAACGCTCTTCAACCGCTCGTGCGACAACCCACCGCCGTCGATCCCCTCCGTTGTGGAAATGGCACTCGTGAACGCCCCCACCAGTCGCTGGATGCTCGCCTCCTGATACGCCGCCAGCTCGTCGTTCTCGTGCCTGTCTTCGATGTTCGCGCCGACGAACCACACTGGCAGCATCATATCCATGTCCAGCGTGATGTGGAACACCATGGGGCTCACACACACACGCCAGTCCTCCCCCATCCAGATGGCGCGAGCGATGTTAGTGGCCCCATGGTTCAACGCGTACGAGTACGCTGCGTGGTACACCTGTTGCCTGCTCGTCGAGTTGAAGACCCACCCGTGGATGACCCGCAAAGCGATAGTCTTCACCTTCATTGCCCTCTCCGGCGCAGCGTTCAACTCCGATTCGTTGTTGATTTTGTGTTGTGGGATGGTTGTATGAGGCAAGACGATGCTTCGACGCAATGCTGGAGGCTGCACTCCCCTCGCCACCACAACAAGATACATGCGCGCCTCCTGCATCAACTTCACAAGGGCGCTCCCCTTCGTTTCATTCCAGAAGCAGATGTCGTCCACCCACATCTTCGACGACGCCTCGATTCCATCCCGCACATTCCGCTGACGCACCCTGTTCACCAGCGCTTCGTCGTCCTCCCCCTGTGTTGCGACATTGTCTGCCCTCGCCCCTTCCCCCGCCTGTGGAACCCCGCCTGCCTTCGCTCCGCCCGCCCTCACTCCCTCAGCCGCTTGTGAAGCCCCCATCGTCGCGGCCCTGCCTGCCCTTGCCCCTTCCGCTACGTGAGGAGCCCCACCCACTGCGGCCCCGCCCGCCCCTGCCCCTTCCCCCACGTGCGCAGCCCCGCGCTGCTCCTGCGCAGGAGAGCGACTCTTGCTCCCCTGACCGACGGCTTGCACACTGACGCCAATGTCTGTAGAGGTCGTCGCCCCCGGGGTTGCTGGTGTTCGCGCTCGGACGACAACCTCTTGCAGTTCTGGGGCTTCGTTCGCACGTGCCAGTGTCGCGCGATGTTGCTGGCCGACGGTTGTTCCCCCGCCTCGCCCGGATGCCGTCACGGCATTGACGTTGATGACGTCTTCCATCATTGCGCGCCCTCCTCCGCCTCGTCTCTCACCGACATCATCGATCCGGAGGGCTCCACTTCCCCTCCTCGCTGACTTCAGCGTCAACGGCACTTCCTCCTCTTCCTCGAAGTCACTTTCCACCTGCGACGCCACCCACTCGTCATCCTCGACATACTTCGGAAGTGGGGGGCGCCTTCGACGAGTTTCCTTTGTTTGTTGGCGACGTGGCGGCCCTTTCTCTCCCAGATAGCCGCTTAAACTGCCAACTTCCCTGCGGACTTGGCGCGTCCAGAACCGCGGGACGACATGACGCGCGACACACCAACTTCTTCAAGGTAGACCAGCCACCAACTGAAGATCTCTGCGTCGATGGTGAAAAGTGTCATGCAGTAGATTGGTCGTCTCCGCTGCGATGACGGGTGTGGCGATGATGTCGTCGCTGCCGTTGACGGCCCGGAAGACGTTCTGGACGATGGCCCGTATCGGCGACGAACAAGACGACGGTGACGGAGGGATAGACTGCGAACGTGGCGATGGTGGCGACGACGGCGTTGGCGAGGAAGAAACAGAGGTGCGCACTCCACGGTCGAACAACACGGCGATGAAGTTCACATGGCCCAAGACGGATGCGGCGGCGACGTGGCGACTTCGCAATGTGACGGGCGCGAGGATGGCGAGAAAGGCGATGAAGGTGGCGACGATGGTGAGAAAGGCGATGAAGGCAGCGAGGATGGCGAGAAAGGCGATGAATGCGACGAACACGAGGATGGCGAGAAAGGCAATGAAGGCAGCGAGAATGGCGAGAAAGGCGATGAAAGTGGCGACAAAGGTAATGAAGGCGACGAACGCGAGGATTGCAACAACCGACGGCGAGTGTCCTTCGTCACACGCGATGTCACAGCAATCCCGCCGGAATGCGTGGATCCTCGACAACGGCGGAGCGCGGCGTGTGACTGCCTTCGTGCCGCGGAAAAGAACAAGCGGGGAGTGGAGGCAGGAGGAGGCGAAGGCGAGACAGCTAGAAGGTCGACGTGTGTGCCTTGCTGCGTGCGTTTGGAGCCCGATCGTTCATTTCGCAAGGACAACCGCATCCTTATAAACACACACTCCTGCTTCGTGGACGGCGATGAGCGAGCAGTACCCGACACTGTTAAACGATAATTCCATCGCCCTCCCGTGGAAACGATGGTGTCGCGGGCCTCATCGTGGACAGCGATACAGAAGGCCAAAGGTCGCCGGGTAGACTGGCGCTGGCCAGTGACCCCGCCACCTGTCTTCTCGCCACCCGTCGTTCATTTCGGCGGCGAAGAAGCCCCCGTCCCGGAAGGCAACCGACATAACAGTCGCCATCCACATCCCCCGCCGAAAAAAAAAAGCATATCACGAAAGTCCCCAAGCACGAAACTCACCCCCCCCCCCCCCCC